TTGTAAAAAATTAGGATCAAACATGCTCCTCTGATTATATATTTGTTGAACGTTAATTTACATGAAATTATGAGTCTGAGAAATGGTTTGCTATTCCCTTTTATGTAAATTATTATTCTTATCTATTAAAGACACCATAAGGTAATGTCTTGGATACTACCTGGGGCCACAATTTGATTTTACTTTCGAGTTTTCAATATGCAAATATACATTACTTCATAAATATTTCGAAAATTTGATGGTTACAGTTAGATTTGTACCCTTTCTGCATGTCAATATCTAGATTTGGTTCCTTTTTCTGTTTTGCCCACTTTACACAAGACTAGGATGCTGGGCATAGCCTATCGGGATACACTCTCTTTGGAGACACCCTGTTTTGGATAATAAAGCTACTCAGAAATATTTTATCTTAATTACCGGGAATAAAGCTTGGTTTGTTGTTGTTGTTGTAATTCTGACCCGTTCTTGATCATCAATAGTAGTTTGGAACAGAAAGTTAAAGACTGCTTGTGCTTGATTCCAGGTCAACCCAAAAGGCACCTGTTGACATCTGGATGGAGTGTATTTGTTAGCTCTAAAAGACTTGCAGCAGGTGATTCTGTCCTTTTCATAAGGTATGAAATATTTGTTTGGAAACAAAAAGTGATTTTTACTTGTTTTTAAGCTTAGCCAAACATTCTTTCTGTTTGTGCTTAGTGTCATCCTTGTCACTGAACTGCAAAAGTGTGATGTAGAGACGAAAAGTCACATCTTCTCTTGGGTATAAGACATGCTACCAGACAGCAGCCTGCTATCTCCTCGTCTGTTATCTCTAGTGATAGCATGCACATAGGAATTCTTGCAGCTGCAGCTCATGCGGCTGCAAACAACAGCCCATTCACAATATTCTACAACCCAAGGTAGTCGAACTAATACCTTTTTCAACTGTTAAAGTATGCCGGATAAACTTTCTGAAAAATTTTGATCCCCTAATGAAACTTCAATTTTTACAGGGCTAGCCCTTCTGAATTTGTTATTCCTCTCGCGAAGTATAACAAAGCAATGTATACCCAAGTTTCTTTAGGTATGCGTTTCAGAATGATGTTTGAGACTGAGGAATCCGGAGTCCGCAGGTACATGGGTACCATTACTGGCATTAGTGATTTGGATCCAGTGCGATGGAAAAATTCACAGTGGCGTAACCTTCAGGTACTGGTTTTCTTTTTTCATTTTCCTGAAACTCTTCAACATTTATCTTATGGTATGTATGTTCATGAGCATTTAGAACTCGGAAGAATCTGATCGCTGTTCTACTATCTTGGAAACTAAATTCTTCCATTGCCCACCTAGGATATAACTCGTCTGGTAAATATGTAGTCTATAATTCAGTTTTAGGCTAGCTCCTCTTAGTTTACCATGCTAAAAGCTGCATCTCGTTTTTGGTTTTGCCTCTTCTCCAAATACGTGCATCGTATCTTTCCAATTTTTATGTTCTTCTCCTGTAATTGACCTTCATTAATTTCTAATCATGGTTTAGATGGATCCAAAAGATTTATCCTTGTTATATTCTATTACAAGTGTCTTTTCCTCAAAATTTATTCCGTTTCTTGATCTCATAATCAATTATCATTACTTTTGTTAGGTTGGATGGGATGAATCTACTGCTGGGGAACGTCCTAGTCGAGTATCAATTTGGGAAATCGAACCTGTTTTGACTCCCTTCTATATTTGTCCGCCACCATTTTTCAGACCCAAGTTTTCGAAACAACCAGGTTTCCCAGGTAATCCAAGTTGACCACTTTGCTATCTTTTATTATTCTGGGATGTTAAACAGCTATAAGGTACAAAATTTGTACCACGAGCTTTATTTGGTGTGTTTGTGGGAGACTGAGTGCGTCTATAACTATTTGTTGAAAGTGCAATAATTTGTTGCAAATATTTACACATTTTCCTCAAACTCGTGTTTTTACAGATGATGATTCAGATATAGAGAATATTTTCGAGAGAGGCATGCCCTGGATTGGAGACGACTTTGGTTTAAAAGATAACTCGAGCTCCATATTCCCCGGGCTGAGTTTAGTCCAGTGGATGAACATGCAGCAGCAGAATCAGCAGTTCAATGTTAGTCAGTCGGGACATTTCTCGAACATGCTCTCTTCAACTAACCTACATGGTAACCTTGGAACCGATGACCGCTCTAAGCTGTTGAACTTCCAATCCCCGGCCTTTACTTCACAAAATCTCCGACTCAGCAAAATCAATCAACAAAATCAACAAGTTGGACAACTCCAGCAGCAGCCGTCTTCTGTGTGGCCCCAACAGCAGCCGCTGCAGCAAATGTTACCATCTTCTATAAACCCTGTAAATAATGGTGTAGCCCAAAATTCACAGCAAACAGCAATGTACTCCCAACAACTTCAGCAACAACAGTTACTAGCAGGCAATACACAAATGCAGCACAATGTTCCATCAGCTAACAAAAATACAGTTCCCATGACATCTTTACCTCAGGACACACAGTTTCAGCAACATAGTGAACAACCATCTAGCCTCATGCAGAGGCCTCAGCAACAGCAGACACAAATGCAACAAACTCAGCAGCAATTTCTGCAGCCGATCTCAATACAGAAGCCACAAGGGCAACAGACATCACAACAGGGTATTTCCGAACATCAGCTGCAAATGCAGATTTTGCAGAAACTTCAGCAGCAACAGCAACAGCAACAGCAACAGCTGTCATCCCCTATAAGTTCTTTTTTGGAGCCTCCGTTTTCCCAACAACAGCAGGCTCTTCAACAAAACCAGCAAGCTCAGCATTTCAGCAGCACTGGCTTTTCAGCATCAACACTTGTGCAATCACCACAATTTCCCGTCAACCAACTCTCCGGCCAGCAAAAGTCCATGTTCACAGTCAAATCACATTCCGAACCTGCTGATGGGGCTGGCCTATCATGTTCAACCTCACCTTGTACAAATAATATGCAAGTTTCACCGTTGAACTTCTCTAACAGAAATCAATCAGGATCAACCACATTACTGGACAATTCGGTTATTCATCCTGTTCCTAATTTAGCTCCAGAGACTCGTAGCAAGGTTGATATCCTAGTAAAAAGTGATTTCCCAAGTTATAAAGGACCTGAGCAGCCTAAATACAGAAATACGGCTAATGATCACTTGGATGCAGCTTCATCTGCAACATCATATTGCTTGGATGCTAGTGGGCAGCAGAACTTTTCACTTACTGGCTTGGATGGTGACATTCAATCACATCCCCGGAGCAGTCTTCCTTTCACAAGCAATATTGATGGATTGACACCTGATGCTTTGATGTCAAGGGGTTGTGATTCCGGAAAGGATATCCAAAAGTTGCTCTCTAATTACAGTGGTAATCCAAGGGATAATGAAACAGATTTTTCCTCTGCTGGAATCAACTCTCAAACATTTGGGTTGCCAAACATGTCATTTAATGCCGGTTGTTCAAATGATGTTGCGATCAATGAGGCTGGTGTTTTAAATAGTGGGTTGTGGCCAAACCAGACTCAGCGCATGCGAACATACACAAAGGTATCTCTCTCTCTCTCTCTGAAACACAGGCACCCTTCAAACCAGTCCCCTGCCTAATCCCCCACCAAAAAAAAATAAAAAAATACAGCATAATAGCGTCCATATATAATCTCTTTAAGAAGAAGAACAGTCAACACAAATTGCCTGATTACTAGAAATTATGCAGGTTCAAAAACGTGGCTCTGTGGGTAGAACTATTGATGTCACTCGTTACAAGGGTTACAATGAACTTAGGCATGATTTGGCCCGTATGTTTGGTATCAAGGGATTACTTGAAGATCCACAAAGATCTGAATGGAAACTTGTCTACGTAGACCATGAAAATGACATGTTACTTGTTGGCGATGACCCTTGGGAGTAAGTGTTTAGCAACTGTCCTTGTTATCTTAGTTTGTCGTTGAAAGAACACAGAAATAACTTTGAAAATTTTTCTCAGGGAGTTTGTGAGCTGCGTTCAGAGTATAAAGATATTGTCCTCTGCTGAGGTACAGCAAATGAGTTTAGATGGAGATTTACCTCAGCTTCCTGCCCCAAACCAAGCATTCAGTGGAACAGACAGTGGTAATGCTTGGAAAGGACAGTATGATGATAATTCTGCCAACTCTTTTAATCGGTGAAAGCAAGCATTCAGAAACAAACTCGTTCAGCATAAAATGCTCTGATAGACTACTTACAAATGCTGAGCACCTCTGAAGAAGCAAAAATAGGTTACAAAGATCCTTTGAGAAGGCCTTGTTGGGCACAGGCACTGAGAGTGTAAATTTGAGCTGAAATGTTCGAGTTGGATTGAGCAATTTGAGATAGCTCTGGAGTAAGTCAGATACATTGGATGCTTGGAGCTACTTTCACGAAGACACTGTAATACGCGCATATAAAGATTAACCTTTTATTAGCATGAAATGCAAGAAGGTAGGTGTAAATTTCTCGTATCATCGAAGGTCAAAAAGATCATCTGAAATTTTTTAAAGTGTTTATGCATTCTTGTAGAAAAATCAAGAAAACTATTTATACTTGACAAAACTTGTTCATCGACTAGAAAATTGAGTAGTGTTGTTGTCAACATCCGGCTCGCTTGCAGGTTTCTCTTTATAAACAAATTTTGATTCAGCATCATTATGGACTCGACTGAATTGAAAATGCTTGCTTCTATTCCCTCCCTTTCGGTCACAGTTCAACAACACACCCCATCTAAATTTTGATTCATTATCATTACGAACTCAACTGAATTGAAGATGCTTGCTTCTAAACTGACAGTGCAAGAAAACATTCGACAGAATTATTCAATAAGATATCAGAAACTGGAAAATAGGGACACAGATAAGCAGCTCTTTGAACAAACTACAAAGAACAGATGGTCGTCAAATTCAAAAATCACAATTCGTTCATTATGCCGCGAAAAGTTGTAATATTGATCCGGATTACAACAAATTTCTCAAGTTTCACTTTTGCTGAAACAACTAAGAAAGGATAGCCATGACATCTGAAGCCCTGAGTGCTATGTAGTTAGAACCGTCACTGCCCTTGAAATCGTTTCCTGCGTATTTGGAGTATAAAACTGAGTTGCCAGGGATAACTGACAATGGCCTCCTGTTTCCTTCCTCATCAAGGGGACCAGGCCCAACCGCAATCACCTGTAATTGAAGATGGGAAATACTGAGCATTCCGGAGGGATAATTGAAGAGAGTGTGAGACACTGCAAAAGTTCGCATGCTGACATTCTCCGATCAGAAACACTTGTTAACTAGAGATATTACTTACCGTGCCAATTGAGGGTTTCTCCTTGCTTGCCTCTGTTAGCAACAACCCACCAGCAGTTACCTCTTCAGCCTCAGCTACCTGAATAAGAATAGTTTTATACCTCAAAAATAATGGGAGAAAAAAAAATGGCATAAATGAAAGGAGAAAATGGGAAAGCACAAAAGCTATCAGCTATTTTGAAAAGAATGTTTGCTGAAGTTGTGTTCACGGACAAGTTCATAACCAGAGGGGTTCTGCACAACTTCACTGATATTGCCACCAATTACACATCAAGTATATATTTATATCACCTTTCCAGGAAAATTATGGCCTCTCCAAGTTCAGTTATAGCAAATTCTTACTCATCAAAGCTTAAAAAAAAATTTGCACTGTATATGAGGCCAAGTCTGAAGTTCAGAGTCCCCAATACAATGCACAGAGCTGAATCATAAGTAACTAAACCATCAACAAACCTTAATAAGAACTCTATCATTCAGGGGCTTCATATCCTTGACGTCATCAGTATCAAGGATTCCAACAATATCGTCCTCCTTCAAAATGAGATGATTTGATCCATTGAACTCAACTTCTGTCCCCGCATACTTTGAGTACACCACTTGGGTGCCAGTCTAGAGAGGATATCAATAGTTAGTAAATGCAATCATTTTAAGGAGATAACACAACCTGGAAAGCATTAAGACTGCTATTACCTTCACACTAATGTTCACCTTGTTCTTTCCAATTGTACGACCCTCTCCAATAGCAACTACTTCACCTCCCTGTGGTTTGGTTTGTGCTGCTGTTGGTAGCAAGATTCCACCTGTTGTCTTCTCCTCTGCAGTCTTAATCTTCACTAAAACTCTATCACCCAAGGGTTTGAGTGCAGTGTACTGAGGGATCGGAAATAAAATATAGTTTACAAGAAAGAAGAGAATCACATATACAACAAATCTGAATTGAACTTTGCTCAAAGAAAAGAGTATTGGTATTAATTCACATGTTCCAGTTCCAGTTACAGTTCCAGTTCCAGATGATGGTTCATCTCAACCAAAATTTAAACTAAGTGAACATCCATAAGGGTCAGCTATAATAATTAGCGTAGTCACGGCCTAGTAATTTCAGCGCTATAAATCGCTTGAACACACCAACAACTCTTATCTCATTTAGGGAAATGCAATACAGTCGTAAGGTTAATGAAGCTGTAGAGAGGAAAGAACAGAAAAGTAAGAAGCAATGGAAGACCAAGTAGGGAAGTAATATAATTATAGTAAGCTGGTAAAATCATACGCTTTAATTTCATATCGATTCATTATCAACACAACAATGCAGTTTCCTTTTTAAAAATTACAACTTCTGTGATTAAAAGCAATCATCTAACAGCATTGGTATATATCTACTACAAAATTAACAAACGAAAATAACTATTTCCTAGAATCAGTAAGAAATTGACTAGCTGCAAACATGAACTGAAAATTAAGGAAAAAAACAATTTTCATGAATTAGAGAAAGGGAAACTCAACTATGAATTGAATACAAACCTTAGGGGCAACAACGGTGGCGGCCTTAACAACAAGTCCGCGGAATGACCTGAGAGAGAGACCATTTTGCTTAAGAGGTGAAAAGGATGAGATTTTTACAGAATTTTGCCTCAGCCCTTCAAATGATGCAAACCCTTTCACCGAAACTGTGGATGCTGTCAACTGTGTTGCTGCCATTTCTTTCAAAAATCAAGAAAAAAATCCAATCAAATTAACCAATTAATCCGAAAAATACAATGCAAAATAGGGTACCTGAAATGGGAGAACGTAGAAAGTACCTTATAGTTCAAATGAGTGTAGTGTGAGAAAATTTGTTTGTTGAGTGCAATAAAAGAGATAACAAAACCCTAGAAACTTCTGAACTGCTTATAGGGGGGATTTATGCAAAGGATAAGATGGTTCTAGATCATTTTGGATAGTGCTATTTTGGTAGTCAGGGCTTTCTCTTTTGGGCTTTTTGTTTCGTCGAAGGAAAATTTTACAAATAACACTGATTGCAAAGTTCTCTTTCGGGATTTAGCAGTAGAATTTTCACAAAAGGAACCGTTAATCCCTTATATCTTAAAAGAGGCAATCCACCATTTAATGTTCATTTATGAAGCTTATTTTAAAGGTTGAACCGAAATCTTGAGGGTCCCCCACCGCCCTGCCCCCAGAGTATTGTGGAGGAGGTAAATCGCGGGATGTGCCTTAACATGCCGGGTATAAGAGTTGTATATTGGTACCCACAAAGAGTCTAATTTCATACCTTGCAAGATGCAAGAATTGAACTCTCACACTATGGCTGTCAGTTCAACTGAGACTACCTCACTTATGTCATTTGCACCACTAAGTTATGCCCCGATTGACGTTTATGAAGCTTATTTTATCTATATCCATCATCCACTAACCATTCACAAACCTTTAAAACAAAAGGGTAATATGAACTTTCTCGTACCCACAATTGTTGACTCTTCATATGTCTCTGAGAATAAAGGAAAAAAAAACGGAAACAACCATTTACTATTGGTAGTCAATTCTAAGCTTAATTATATTCCTGCATATTCGAACACAAACTATACAAAAAAGGGAGCCCTCAAACAGAGAAACCAACTAGGTGTATACAAAACCATATGTTTTCTAAGCTGTATATGCTTCATCTTCACCAAGAACAAAAAACATAGAACAAATAAATATGAGAAGTGGGGGATATTGACATCTTTAGTTATTACGGCCATTGAACTTGACGACCTTCAACAGTATCACACTATTCTACTAAAAAATTTGTGCATAATTACATACAAGACATTAGATGGGGATATCAACTCTGACTACTACCTCCTTGTACCATATTCGCATTTCTAGGACTCCAAGGGTTAAACTTTATCTTACCACTCAGAAGCGTTTTCAACGGCCTCAAAAGTAAAGGGACGGGCGATTTTTCATCTTCCTCTTCGTTAACCTATTTTGGAATGTCAATCACAAGCATTCCGTCTGGCCCATTACTTGTCGATGCCAGTGATGATGAGCTAGTGGGTTGAAACGGAGCAGCAGTTGCAATGCCTTCATGACTATCCTCTAAACAAGGTCAAAATGTACTAACTTGAGTCTCGTTACCCTAGAACAACACATTAGTGGGAAATTTTGGTGGTTGGCCAGAATTTTGTTCAATTGGGGTTTGAATTACAATCTCTTCAAGACTACTAAGATTCGATGAGGATTCATTTTCATTCCTAATAAGGTCTCGACAAAGAGGACGAATGGAATGAGATTGAAACCACATATCAATGCAAACCATATGAAACCCATGCTTGCATTTTGGTAAAAACTTGGTTTTTTCCACGTGTGAGACCCCAAAGGACACAGTGCACATTCTAATCCATCTTTAAACTCATTGAGATAATATATTACTATAAGTATGATTTTGAGGGCAGTGGGATCATGACCATGATGAAAGGTGGAAGGGTCTCCGTGCTGGTGTCTCTGCACTGCGCGAAGAGAACTGTCTCAGCGCATTGTCCGCAGCGCGGAGATCTTGTATCTGCAAATGGGTAACATTCTCAATATAGAAAAAGTGTAAGTTAGAATAAATGGGTATGTCCGTTGAAGAAAAACGGTTAACTTCCAATAGACACAGCTCTTCAATACATACACGAAAATTATATTTCCCTTTTGAGGGCAGATCATTTGCATAATAACAATAAACAAATAAATAAATTATGAAAAAATATCTAACAATTTTTCAGTTCAACTATGTAACATTATTTTGATGTTATTGAAAACTGAGATCATTATATACACATCTCTATTGCTAAACAACAAAGTATAGATACAGCCTTACTGCTAACATTACCTTCTAAATAACATAACTCGTGCATTGCATTGGCGATAGACTAGTAAAATAATATAACACGTGCATTGCACGACAATATACTAGTTGTTAATAAAAAGTTGTTAACTATTTAGTTGTACGTTCGAAAAATATTGTTAACATCAAGCCCTTGTTTGGTGCTTTATTTAAAAAAAAGTTTTGAATAGTGTTTTTAGAAAAATGTGTGGTTGAAAATGATCATATAACAAAAAATTTTTGAAACAATAGGCCACCAAACAAGGGCTAAATGTCCGTTTAACAACATGAATATAAAAAAACTTCTATGTAAACTACACGTCTATTCAACTAAATATTAATTATTTTTTATATCTCTCATAATTGTTTCTTTAACAATTAACATTTATTTTAATGTACTATATAATCTATTAAAAGTAATACTATAATAAAATTATCACGACACAATTATTTTAATATATATTTTATCAGATTAAGAATTAAAAACAAGATAAATTTTTTATCTCTTAATGTATGTAATAACTATCATTTTTTACAACCAGAGATGATAACAAGGGAAGTTGGATTGGAACTCTCTATGAGGTCGATTTCCAACCAACTCCGTAAAGTTATAAAAAGTGGGATTGACAATAATTAGACTTCACAAGTGTAATATTCACCTTGCAATTGCTAAGGTGAGTGTCTAGTATGCAAAAATTGTAAGATAAATTGTTGTCAAACGACCTCTCGGACGATGATGTAAGTTATTGTTTATTCAGTCGGTATCAACCAAATGACTGAAGTTGTATATCGACATCACAATTCTTTAAACCAATCATATAACATATTAATTAGTGTTACTCATTTAGGCCATTTAAAGTAGTCTAATTTAATTAGTGTTACTCATGGTCCGACTTATAACACCTGGATGACTTTTTGGTTGATAACCCATTTATATGCTACATATTGGGCCTTATTATTTTCTAACCTAAAGTCCATACTTCTCCCTTGTATATGATGTCAAATACTGTTGCAACCGTGTGAGAAATTGGTTTCATTAGCCCTTTTTTGGTTGAAGAGAAAAAACAGCTGCTTCCTTCCTTGGATTTCTGGCTTCGTGCTTCTGGTTCAGTGCTCTGTTTTCTTCTTCTTTCTTTGGCCTTTGTGGCTGATCTTGAGGCTACAATAAACCTTCACACTTTGCCCTTTGTAGGCAACTCGAGAGCGGGTTGAGAGTGTTTGGTTTGTGGTTTTTGGTTGATGATTGTGGTGTTGATTCAACGATACTGAGCTCGGTTCTTTGATGATTGAACACTTTCCTCCAACATTAAAAATAAATAAATAAATAAATGTCACAATATTTGCATTTTTACAAAAAATGTTGCTGTCCCTATGTAATAATTTAACTACAAAAACAAAGTTCTCAACCACAAATTACGAAGCCAAAATGACTATAATCTGTACATAGGATTATTTTTAACAAGAAGCACGGATCCACCAGGTTCAGGGGTGAGTTTTGCTCACATTTTACCCAACAATCGATCTCAAGTCTCAACCATACTGCCAAGTTTCCCCCCCAACACGAAGAACGACCCTTGAAACCGTGAAGAGAGCAAGAGTATCATCCACAAAGAATGGTTGAAGAACAAAGAATCACAGTAAGCAGCAGGGGCGAATCCAGAAAAAATCTTAAGACGTGCTCATATGCCAAAAAAAAAAGGGAACAATACATAAATCCTGGTTTTACTTATACACATTTCAAAATTAAGGTTAGATGTTTTAAAATTCAAAAATCAGGTTTTTATTTAAATTTATTTATGAATTACTTAATTAATTATATGTTTTATTAATAAATATATAACAGTCACAGATCTATAGAATTTGGTTACAATTCGAAATTTTTTAGGTCACAATTCAAAAAATTCATAGGTCACAATTTGTTCATCGGTCACAACTTAAAAATTTAAAAGTCACAATTTTTTTGTCGGTCACAAATTACAAATTTTATAAGTCACAATACTTATTTAGGTCACAATT